CCCCGGTTCGTCTCATTCACTTGCCAGGCCTGCACTCTGGGTCTGTTCAGGATCCCGCGGCCTCGGTCGTCTCCTTTTTTTTTTTAATTTTGAGACAAGGACTCACTAAGTTTCCTAGACAGAACTTGAACTTGTGATGGTCCCACCTCAGCTTTCTTCACTATTAAAGTTACTGGAATGCATTGTGATGGCTTGCTTGGAAATTGTTCTCTCTCTCTCTCTCTCTCTCTCTCTCTCTCTCTCTCTCTCTCTCTGTCTTTCTTTCTGTGTAACTAGGAGCCCTTACACTGAGCTACATCCCCAGCCTTTTTTTAAAAAGCAAATCATACGAAATCACTGTCAGTAAGTTGCGCAGGGTGAATTCAAGCTTGTGATCCTCCTGCCTCAGCCTCCCAGATTGCTGAGATTATAAATGTGTGCCACCACACTTGGATGGAAATACTTTAGCATAACTTATCTTTCCCAAGCCTTGAGGCCTGGCAAATAATTGAATTTGGGGTAACACCTAAAATGAGGACAGCTAAGGAAAAAGTAGGAAGCACCCCATAAATTACGCCTTCTTACATAGCTCTACTCTTACATTCCCTTTGTCTTATAAAGTTCTCATTTTGTGCTTGTTTCTCCACTAGACAGTAAATAGCTGGTAATGAAAATTGTATTAGCCTTCCCATCACTGGGACAAAATAAGTAGCCAACACCTACAATAATAATTTAAAGGAAGAGGTGTTTGATTTTCATGGTTTCAGTGTCAGGTCAGCCAGCTCCTAGGCAAATAATTGAATTTGGGGTCTCAAATCTCAATCACTGTCTCAGCACTCCCTGGGGGCCAGTCTGACATGGCAGAACTGGAATAGAAGGAGAATGTAGTGGAGAAAGTTGTTCATTTTGTAGTGGCTAGAAACAGAGCAGACTGGGAAGAAGGCCAGGGAGAGATAAACCCTCCAAAGCCATGCGGCCAGTGGCCCACTTTCAAGTGGCTCTGCCTCCTACCAGCCCATTCAGCTATGAATGATTCAGTCATCATTCCAAGAGTTTTTTCAAGTGGTTGACAACTAAGCTTAACCATCACAGATATAAAGGCCTTTCACAAACCAGGCATGATGGTACATGACTGCAAGCCCAGTACCTAGAGCATATGAGGCAGGAGCATTGCAAGTTGGAGCCTAGCTTTGACAACTCAGCAACTTATCAAGAGCCTTTCTCAAAAATAAATTCAATGTGGGGGGATGTAGCTTAGTGAGAATATTCTGGGTTAAGTCCTCAGTACCAAGAAAACAGCAGCAAACAACAAAACAGGCCTCCATACCAGGCATCAAGTCAACCAGTGTTTGTTGAATAACAGCAAACATTTCATATGTGCTGACTTTGTGCCAGGCCCTGTTGCTTGGCTCTTTGCACAGATTTTTCTCATGTGATCCTCCCAGCAATCCTGTTGGTATCCTCAATTTGAAACCAAGGAAGTAAACACAGAGAGAATCAGAAGTTCACTCACATCTAGAATTAAGCTAAGACATAACTATTTTGGAGTCTGTATCAAACTGCCACACTTGACTTAAGTTGTTCATGAGTAGCCAAACATGTGAGAAAAGCCAGAGTGAATGACTTGTTTTGATAGTGGGCAGAGACAAAGAAGAGCTGAAATAAAGTGTATGAAAGGGAAGTAAATGATGGCACCAGATTTCAGAGTCTTGTTTATCATGTTTAAAATTTTTCTTCCTTTCTGTATTTTAGGGAAGGGTCTACAGGGTGTTCAGGGTCTCACTACTAGATCAGACTCATAATCATTCTCCTGTTTCCAGCCTCCCAAGACCAGGGATTACAGGTGCATGCCACCATACCGTCTCAATCACTGTCTCAGCACTCCCTGGGGGCCAGTCTGACATGGCAGGCCCCGGGGATTGAACCCCTGGTCCCTGCACCTGCTTGCAGGTACTTTAATCCACTGAGCTATTTGGCCAGCCCTTCCTGTTTAAAATTTGAAGGGGCAAAGGGAAGTAAGAAGGATCAAGGTGCCACACATGTATGTACCAATATTCCAAGATGAGTATGTTCATTATGCATTGCAAATATATGCTAATATGTGGTTTTTTTCCTCACAATAGTAATTTTATTAAATTAGTTACTTTATAAAACATCGCAGATGTCATAATTGTGAACATAACAATTTACCAAACTGTAGTTAACTGGTGCAGTTTGCTGACCATGTTTTATAAGGAAAGGAAATGCCAAACCCTTGTTAAAGTTGCTCCACTGCAGCCTAAAAGAACAAGATTTTATTTCTCAGACACTTGAATCAGGTAGCTTCCCTCCCCCATCCTGAAGCACGCCATCAGTAGAAGTAGTCTAATAAATTAAAAACTAGATAGTCTATGCACTCAACAGATTCCACAAGTTGTACTGCAATAATGGAGAGGTTTACCCTTCTTCAGCTTCAAAGTTGGAGGGTTTGGTCATTAATTTGTAATTATCTTCACTCTGAGATAAGCAGTCTTCTTCACAATGGATTTTTAATATCCTCACGCTCAATTTTAAGACAAAGCAATTTTAATACTAGGTGCACACCACATGCCCTTGCTACAAACTGCTTTTCTTGACAAGTTATGAAGTAGTTCAAGGAGATATGGTTAAGGCTGTATTACTGTATGGTGCTGGTAAATACTACATAATTTTCTGTCATGTTGCAATCTTTGTGTTTCCAATTTAGTGAATGCTGCTCTGGAATCAGATAGCAACAGTGACATTATTAAATCTGTTTTTCAACTATGATTTAGTAGTAATTGAGATTTACAATTTTAACCCCTTGGCAGCAAGATCCAATTTCCCTCATTTGCACATTAGCACCTAAGTGTCAAGGGGTTAAATAACCAGCACAAAAGATACTGCACTTTTGATTGTAGCATTTGGCAGAACTGAAAGGAAAGGAAGTTGTGCTACATGTTGAAGGGATTGTGGACAACAGAAAGAAGACACCAGAAGATAAAATGTCACATGAAGTCTTCATAGTCTTGTACATATCCTCCATCATAACCACCATAATCTGCCAGATCGTCTTTCATGGTGGCCTTTAATCCCCCTCCAGGAACCACACCTTTCTTCTTCTTTTTGGCTTTGCTTTGCTTTTCTTGCTTCTGTTTTTCACTGCAAAGCACAGTCAATGAATTGGTAATCTTTTTCAAGTCATCAATTTCCAATGAAATACACACATCTCGAACTAAGGCTTCCAAAAAACTGGCATAATATAGTGACTTTTCATACTGTGTAATTTTATCTTTTAGTAACTTTCCAAACTCTGTGAAATCATCTCTTGAAGACGGATTCATAGCATCTATTCCATAAACTATATTATTGACACCAAAAGTTTCTTTTGCTAATTCAAGGTCTGACTCTTCCTGTAATTTCTTTAGCCGCAGTTTATCTGCTAATTGTTCTTCTGGTGTTAGCGCTTTAGGTTCTTCAGGTTCCTCTAACCTCTTTTTAATTTCTTCTTGCCTTTTCTTCTGTTGCCGTTCTTTCTCTTTTGTCTTCTCTGCTATTTTTTTCTTTTCTGAAATTTTTACCTCTGGTTTTACTTCTGCTTCCTCTTTTTTCTCCTCATCTTCATCATCCCAGTTATCCTTAACGTCCTCGTCCTCGTCCTCGCCTTCGCAGCGGTCCCCGCCGGCGGTGCCGCTGCCCCCCACCTTCCGCACCGGGTCTTCCATGGTGTCTGCGTCCCAGGAGTCGGAGTCCCCCGCCGCCGCCGCCTCCGCCGCCGCCGCCGCCATCTCGAGCCGGGCGTGAGCGTGTGTGAGAGAAAAGCTGAGGAAGAGTTGGAGCGGCGGAGGTGAGTCACTGAGCTGGCTCTCGGTGTCCCGCCGCTAATATGTGTTTTAAATTTGGATTTGTTCATACATTCAAGAAGAAGCCATTTGAAAGGTCTGATCCCCCGACTGGTGAGATAGCTACGCAAGCTTAGACAGGAGCAGGGGACGGCAGTTCAATCCCCAGCACCACACGCCGCTCCAGCCCCACCTTCAGAGTGGACTGAGCCGGCCAGCAAAAGAAAGATCTGATGCCCGCAGTTTCAGAGCGAGGTTTGTGTTCTCAAATGCCAACTTGGTCTACCATGAAAAGGATGAATTAGAGGGAGTGATGTGCTGCTCAGGTGTTCTTTATTTTTCTTTTTTTTTCATTTTTTCTTTGTGAAAATGCCAGCCTCATTGGACTCGGCTAAAGTCTGAAACAACTTCAGGCTAGGAGCCAACATACTTCTTGGGAGGCAGGTAGGAGAAATGATTGACAGAATTTGTAAAAAAAAAAAAAAAAAGAGTGGCAGATTTTCACTTTTCTTCCCTATGACAGTACTTTCTCTCATTCCCACCAGGTGCCAGAAAGAGTAAAATTTAGAATATATTCTCCCTAACTCCAGATAAGTGGATGTACTTTCCCCTGATGTTGTTTCACACAACACCTCCGAGAAACCATAAATCCTACCTCTGAACTCAGGAGAAAACAGGAAGCAAAGGTAAAAAATATGACTTGCTAACCTTTCAAGGATTGGGTAATAGAACTGGTAGCACCTAGATCACAGAAGCCTTGCTTTTGGCAAAGAAATTTCTCCTGTCAGAAATTTCAAATGCCTTAAGCCAGCCATCCCTGTGGCACAGACCATTTGCTGGAGGGAAGAGGGACCTTGCTAAGAAAGTCCCTGGCACAAATGGCCTACTTCTGAACTCACAGGACAATTTAGTTCTCCCAATTCTAGTAGAACCTCTAGCCAAGCACACCTAGAGTGACTTGTCATCTCTGTCTGTCCACCACTGAGTCCACACTGGGGTTTCCTTTCAGCTTTCCTGGCCCTTCCTTCCTTCTCAGTTTCTTTCATAATAGTTTGTGAAGTGTTGGAGTGCCCCAAGATAAGCCTCTACTTACTGCTCTTTTCACTAGTTCCACTCGCTGACTGAGCCTGCTTTACAGAGGCTTGAGGCCATGCTCAGCTGGCACTTTGCTGGATGTGGGTCCTAGAGATGGCCAGAACCAAAGAAGCACAAGAAAGTGTGAAATGGTGTTCTCCAAATAGGTTTCTTGGCTGTGGTCCTGGAACAAACTTTTAAAATACAGCTCCCAGCCTGCACTGCACCCAGGAAAACTCAATTCCTTAGTTTCAGGCTGTAATATGGGCATACATACTTCAAAAACATTTCACCAAGTAGTGTTCCATTATTCTTTTATATTTTGAAGAAATTAAAACCTATAGAAAAGTTCTTATGACTAGTACAATTAATACCCATACCTCTATCCAGGTTCACCAATTAACATTTTGCATCTTGTTTTACATATCAAACACACAACTAACTATAGAAATATACCATGCATATATAATGTACGTAAGTTATATGAATTATATTTTACTGAGTTATTTGAAAGTTACTTCAGACATCATGATAATCAGCCTTAAACCCTCCAGTGTGTATCTCTTAGGAACAAGGACATTCTTCCACATAAAATACATATCCTTCTTCTTTAAATATTCCAATAATGGATTTCTCTCTGTTTCATTGCACCTAATACAAAGTCTATGCACTGCATTTACTTATCATGTTCCTTAAGTCTCCTTTAATCTAAAACAATTCCTTACCCCTTTTTTTGGACTCTCAATGATATAGGGGAATGAAACTCCCAACCTGAAAGATACCTGGGCAGAGTTCATGTTCTCTAAAACCAGAGAATGAATTTTAGGAACAACAAAGGTTAAGCGCAGAATATATTTACTGGGGGAAAGAAAGCTCATGTCCAAGAAGGGGACAGAAGTGGAACCGAGCAGGTTGCCTGGGAAGCTGCCTTTGCTAGGGACGTTTTAGAGTAAAACCCTGAGGTGAGGCAGGTCCAAGGTAGAGAACATGGCAACTCAGTAGGTGGGCATGAGGTGGGCCAAAACTACAGTCAACCAATGAGATTACAAGCACAATTGCTCAGGTAAATTTGATTAAATCCAGGATCAAACGGGGGAGCAAGTCATGTAGGAAGCAGGCATGCATACAGAACACAGGCTTTTCCTGTAGGGGGCTGGGTTAGGGACTCTTCCAGTCTTCCTCAAGGTGAGGGGCCTATTTATTTATTTTTTTTAAAAGAGAGGACAGGGCTGGAGAGATGGCTCAGTGGTCTAAAGCACCTACTTGGAACAAGCTTGGCAAAGTACAGGGACCACGGTTCGATCCCCCAGCACCACATGCCAGCCAGCTGCGCCCCCTGGTGGGCTGAGCTGGCCACACACACACACACACACACACACACACACACACACAATAAATAAATGTTAAAAAAAAAATAAAAAAAAAAATAAAGAGAGGACAAATTAGAACTAAAACAAAAAAAATTAAAAATGATACAGAATTTCACTTAACAAAATAATATGAATTTTACAATATTTGTTGTAATACATAGTGTTGTCATATTCAGAATATCAACCCCTGATGTCTATCCTTAGGGAGGTATATATTTGTTTGATCTTTTGTCTTAAGGTCTGGCCCACAGCAGGGGTCTGTCTCTCCCAAAGTTACAAAGTCGTCTTATCTTCTATACTGGCTCCTTGAGGGCCTAGCCCTGTCTGATTGTCTAATATATTTGAATCTAACTCAGTTGGCTGCAACATCATGACATTGATAGTTTTTAGGAGTTAAGGACAATCATTTTGAAGAATATCTGAGAGATTTTAATTCACAGCCATGATTGAAAATAGCTTACGTAGTTGGGAGAGATCACGACCAGCCAATGCACTAAAGGGCAAAGTGATGACAGTCCTACCAATTAGGAACTATGTAATACCTGGAAGGTAGTCAGACATGAAGGCAAGAAGGGTAGTAGCTAGATGAGTTGGATTTGCTAAAAATGTAAGATCAGTATATTCAAACTCCTCTGTTCTGTTTTGAGATATACAATGCACTGTTAACCATACCTATCCTACTGTGTTGAACACACCTGAGTTGATCATTACTCAAGGTACACATTTTGAACATCACATTGACCCCCATAGATATGTACAAATATTCTGTGTCAATCAAAAAGAAAATTAATTAATCAAAAATTATCAGGTCCCAGCAATCATTCTTCCTATGGCTACTAATAGCCAAATACAGCTAACGGTGATTCGCAGAGTGAAGTCTTCCATCCTATCAAACATCTCCTTCACCCTAGCAAGGCCCTTACATTGAACCACCTACTTACATAGACATTCACTGGGCATATATTATGTGGTAGGCACTGTCTGAAGCACATTTCATGTACTACCTTATTTAATTTTCACCACAACAAATCTTCTAGAAGGCCAAAGCTATAATTGTACCTGTTTGATCAGTTAGGAATCAAGACACACAGAGGTGAAGTAACTTGTTTGAGGTCACATAGCTGGTAAGTGATGGTACCAGAATTTGAACACAGGTAACCTCAAAATTGAGACTTCAGAGATGTCACATATTTAAAAATGTATTTTTTTTATTTTCCCCTAAAATGGACTTTTGTTCTTTTGGTTTACATTTTTATGAATATTCCAGTATAGTCCAGTAGTTCATAAGAGTAGTAGGTTTTCCGTAAGAC